ATAATATAAGAGAGCACTTCTGAAGATTTATGTTCCTCTTATGTATTAAGTGGGCTTCTTGACTCTGTGGGTAGTCTCTGCTTTTTTTTTCACCGCCCCTTATGCTATGCCCTTACCACTGTGTCTAATGTGTTCGATTGTTAAGCGGTACTTTTTTCTCGAATACAACATCGATTAATCAGCTTTGCAGAACGCTCATTTTTCTATCTATCTGTCTGTCTATCTATCTATCTATCTGTCTGTCTATCTATCTATCTATCTATCTATCTATCTATCTATCTATCTATCTATCTATCTGTCTATCTGTCTATCTATGTATCAGAAGTGAGTAAAACTCATTCCGTTACTTCTTATTAAATAGCGTTATACGGGGTGCCCACTACAGCTGGATCGGGCCGATCGCCCGACTTGATCGCCTGAAACTGAAAACAAACACGTTTGTTTTTTAGACGATCGAGTCGGCCGATCCCGTCCGTAGAGTGCACCTCGTATGAAGTAACAGAAGAGTGAATAGCTTGACCAGTTTCCAGTTTTAGGACAGGGACGCTTGAAAACACTACCGTCACAACAGATGGACATCTTACCGTTTTGAGAAATTTTTAGAGAATTTTGAGAGGGGGGGGGGGAGGCAGAAAACAACACCCAACAGATCGAGAATGGGCCTTTCGTAGTAACAAAAAAAGTTCGGGGAATAAATTGTAAACCAACATTGCTTTTCCCCCACTATAACACCCACGATTGTTTTCTAAGCCTTTTTTTTCAACAGACACAGAGTTTACGGAAACAACCTACAATTATTGGAACTGTTGAAGCGCAACGTTGAACAGAACGTCCAATCAATTGACACAAAAGATGCCTCTGGGTTATCAAAAATGTCCGGCTGCGTATTCGAACTTGTCTGAAGATGGAACATGCATAATTGTATAATACAGGGTGATTTAAAAAACTGTACACATTTATTCTGAATATGTAGCACAGACATTGTTCTTGAATGCTGCAATTTGGAACCGACACAATTCATTTAAAGGGAATTTGTTGGACATACAATCCACGAAGAAGATACCTATTTTGAAAAAGGAAAAAGCTTAAAGAAAAAAGCACCCAAAAAAAAACAATTTTTAGGACTCTTGTAATGGAAGTCGTGAAAAGATTTTGTTCAATGTTTTTTCTGACATGTAATTTCGATTCCTGTAACAATTTAACATTTATTAAATTTCTTTTACAGAGTTTAAAAAAATAACGGTTTCATTCTGTAATTCCTAGAAGCAGTGCTCTACATGTCCTCATTTGGACATGACACATTTTTAACGCGTCGTTCGAAATGTTCAATGGCGCACAAACTCAAGGACCTGCTAAACCATGAGCGTTTAACGCCATATACACAGTACATAATTAGTAAGAAGTGCCTTCTAGAGACAACAGGGAGTGGAGTGCCCAATAGACAGAATTTTTAGAGTAAAAATATCCCAAAGGGTGACAATGGGCTTTGCATTGAACCGAATGTCATCGAGGAAATGATCCCGCTTTTCCAGTCAACTGTGGAATCATGAACACATTGCCATGCTTTGATCCATGTCATCTTGGCCTAGCGAAGGTGAAAATGGTTCAGTCGTAGGTTAAGATTTTCCATGAGAATGCAGACTGTTGAGGTGTAGGAAAGTCCTAGCTGCACATAGTCTACGGACAAACATCTCATGGGATGCGACTACTGATATCTGCACCTTTGTAACGTCTAAAGGGTCGTGCATGGTGCAAGTTCGACCTGAAGAAGTCAATTAAAAGAAATTCTTCAGTTCTGATTCGCCATAGATCCAAAGTGAGGGAACTTCTCTACTTATGACGTCAAAGGTCTAGAGGGAACCTACGCATTCTTTCAATGTCGTGCAGAGAAATATCAAGGATCGTGAGTTTGAGGAAAGGTAATGTTCTATACAAAATGCCCTCAGCTCTTTACTAAACTTAACCATGATCTCAGTAGGCAAACGAAATTTGGGAAACAAGAATATCTGAAGATCTGTTGACTTGTTAGAAAGCAGTAGCTTGCAATATGGCGTGATTGTTGTAACTTTTAGTTTTTAGGCCTAATGCGAACTGGTGCGTCATGCTACGAAAATAGGGACAAGGTTGAAAATAGGTTGTTTTTTATGTGTCATATAGATCTAGATCTAAACAATTGAATGGATTTATCAAAAAGAAATATCAGACAAATTCCTTTTGGCTTCTTAATATTGTGCTTAAATCTGAAACGCAAAACTTCAGTACCGGGGGAAATAAAATAATTTAAAAAACAAGTTGCATAGTTATTGGGGGGAGGGGTATTGTTTGTTTTTTGTGTAGTTTTGTTGTGGGTTGTTGTTTTTTTTTTGGGGGGGGGGGGGGGGCGCTGAGTGAATCACCCTGTATGTGAGGCAGTGTGCTGTAATCAGGCGCTTGTCAAAATAATGAAATCGAAGAAATAGACATTTTTATGTGATTTTTTTTTGGCTCAAAACTTTCTATGTCAATGTAAAAACACATTTCCAAATGGATTTTACTGGAAAAACGTTGTGAATTTGCAATTTCAAAAACTTTCAAGCTTTGAAAGTCACCAAGTTTTGCGGCCATTTTCTCGCCAAATTTTACCTCTGAAATCAAGCAACCAGTACTTCCTGAGATATCAAATATCTCGACTTCTATTCAAGACAAATGGGCATATTTTCATCGAAAACTTTTAGATGAAACAAATTACAAAACTCTACATACTCCAAAATTTTCAACGCTTTCCGTAAGTTCATTATAAAAATGACAATTTAGTATAAATGTTCTTCAATGCACAACGAACTCTTCGGTTGAATGTTAAGAATTGAAAAATGTTGTGCTTCACTCAAATTCAGTGGGATTGTCTACAACTTGATTTATCTGCAGCAGCAGCAGCAGCAGCAGCAGTAGTAGTAGTAGTAGTAGTAGTAGTAGTAGTAGTAGTAGTAGTAGTAGTAGTAGTAGTAGTAGTAGTAGTAGTAGTAGTAGTAGTAGTAGTATATAGTAGTAGTAGTAGTAGTAGTAGTAGTAGTAGTAGTAGTAGTAGTAGTAGTAGTAGTAGTAGTAGTAGTATTTTGAAAAAACGGCTGTTCACAAAGCAGAATAAGAACAATTATTGACTTGTTGACTGAAATGGTCTACCTTTCCACATTTGTCACGGAACAAAGCTTCAAAATAATTACTGTGACGCCACCCGAAAAAAAGTGCGTTGAGTTTCTTTCTTCTTTCTCAGGGAGTACCATTTATAAGTAGTATGCGATCTTTGTTAGCTATCAGAGGGCAGAGAAGAAAGAGTCCACCTTTGATTCCCGTTTTAAGAACAATACGTAGGCAGATCAATTATCAACTCGTTATCGTGGCTACACCACACTTTCACAGATGGCTAACGAGGATCGAACGGGCCTAGAGGTTAAGATGTTCGCCTCTCATTCAAAGGTCCCTGGGTTCGAATCTGGGTAGCAACGGAAAAATTTTCTTCTCTAAAATTATCTTTCACCTCCTTTCTTGCTCTCAAACTATATTCTGTCGTCTGCTTTCGTCTCCACTTGCTGCCCCACCCCCTCATCTCCTTTGCCGTCCTCCTCTGGGTTCCTGACTCTTTCTGAAGCCTTTCTACTGCTACTCCTTGGCTCCTTCTTACTGTTGTCGTTCAGCCACAACCCTGATCTTATGATAGGAAAGGTCTACATCTAGCCTCGGACCAGGGCGAAAAATCTCGGAGGTCCCGTATACAAGTTGAAATCGGTAAGATTAGACTTCGGCCACAAGCCGGGCAAAATTCAAAATGTCATGCTCATATAACCTTATGCAGTCGGGAGCGTCGTGAAACACTTACCAAAACAAAACTACCAAAACAAGGATCGAACTATAACTGAGTCTACAGTCATGCTTTGACCTTTCACATAATTACAGATGAACATTCAACACAAAGGCTGTTTCCTGATTCTATTGTTTGGTGAGAGCAAGACATTGCAAAAGAAAATCATCGTAGAAAATTAGACTACACAAAGAGGTAATGACAAAAAGGAATCGATGTACAAAGAAACATCTGTGAGCCAAAATTTTCACTCAGTCCATAATTTGATGATAGATAATAATTCCTGCGTTCTGATAAGAAAAACCGGTATTACAGTTCGACCGGGAAGCCCATCTCGTTAGCCCGACACCATGTATTATAACATTTTCACAAGTATACCATTCAGTATATACTCCGTATTTATTGTTAAAAAGAAAGATCATCATTATTTCGTGACACACACTTGATAATACAAGTACTCTAAGCCTACATTAAACTTCTTATACGCTATAGTTCTGCATAATTCATGTAAAACGACTTCAAACAGTCTGCGAGTAAAAATTCCGACCATCCTCTCCAACCGAAGATTTAAATAGTCCCCGTACTCCATTGTCAATCTTTTCATGAGATTTTGATTTTATTTACCACAGTCTGGGATCATCATCGAAATACTAAAGATTCCACAACTTTGGTAACATTGACGTGACGAGAGAAATAACGACTCAACGACTTAAGGAAAATATCATCTCAGAACTGAACACAGAGTGGTTCTGTGAGTCATTGCTGAACAAGGATGTCTTCTAACTACTCTGAGTCACATGGCATACGAGGCTACATGTCAGAGGCTAGTAACAAGTTTATTATTAGCAATCACATGAAGTGGCACATTGACATTGCATTCCTATTCGTTTCTCTGCCATTTCTTTCTGTGAGTGGAATTCTCTTTAACATTACGAACGTTATTGTGTTCACCAAAACTGGACTTACAGATTGTGTCACTATGGCTGTTTTGTTCTTAGCCACCTCTGATTTTCTCCTTTGTCTTACCACTCTCTTCTATGTCTTGTCAAGCATCACCAAAGCTGACACTTCTTACATACCTGGCTCTTACGGCCTATATAATTACTTGTATTTCCTCTCTACGTGGACAAGGGCGATGTTTGTAGACACGTCCCTTTTCCTTACGATGTTCGTGTCGTTAGAGCGCTGCCTGTGTATCACCTGGCCTCTCAAGTTCAAAACTCTCTTCACAACCAGAAAAGCTGCTGTCATATGTACAGCTATCACGTGTGGTACCATCGTGTCGTACATCCCAGTTCAGCTTAGTCAAGGGATCCGAGAGCAATATGACGTCACCACAAACAGAACACTTCTGATGTTGTGGTTTTCAGATGATCGAGAAGAAATTATCAAGTATAGTAACTCATTTCATAGACTTTTCCTTCACAACGCGAGTCTGGCCTCAATCACTATCAGCGCTACTCTTATGGCAGTTCGCCTCCGGGCCTCAGCAGCGTTCAGACAACGAGCAGCTTCCGCGGAACCTGGAGACAAAAACAACAGCAGAGCCTTGTCCAGAAAGGACAGCCGAGTGGTCACCATGGTGTTTATGGTCGCTTTGGCCTGCATCATTCTCCTCTTACCCTCTATGCTTTTTGTGAGCGCCAGGAGAGTGGTGCCCGATCTGGGCCAACAGCCACGTTTTATGAACCTCTTATCTACCCTTGTGGACATCATGTTCATATTCTCCACTCTCAACGCCAACGTCAATATCTTCATCTACTACAACTTTAACTCAAGGTACAGACAGTACCTCCGACAGCACATGCATTGCCAGAGGATAGAAAGGAATAGCCAAACTGAAACAGCATTTTCCTGAGAAAGGAACGTTTAGTGGAATCGCAAAGCGAAAAGAAATGAAGTCTTGTCGATACTATTAGTGCACATTCGTACACACACACACACACACGCACACACACACACACACACACACACACACACACACACACACACACCACGCACGCACACACACACTCTCTCTCTTTCTCTCTCACACACACACACACACACACACACACACACACACACACACACACACACACACACCATGGCTGTTGTGAAGGAGTACTTTAGTTCGAAAGTCGCCAGTGCCCCGTTTCTTGTAATCTGACCACAATCACGGGGCCACGTACGCATGGTCAACGGAATTCCCCTAGTCCCGCTCACAGTGGTGGTCACTTAATTTCAACAGCATTTAAACTTATTTACAACATGGCGCAAAAACCAAACTCATAATATGAGGTTTAGGAAATTATTTTTCCCTATCATGTTTCCTATTTAATGACATGTATGTTAGTTTTGATGCATGTGTCGTCAATGTATGGAAGTCTGTCTTCCAGCACAGGTTGTCTGCATGAAATGTGGATAATGGATGTAAATAGGGTATCGTATTATTAAACACCCATAATAATATTGTGTTATGTCCAATTGATCCGGACTCTAGCGGGTTTTGATGACCTATATTTTGCTTGACCAGTTCTTGGATCGACAAGAGGTCAGCAAGAAAAAGAAGGGGTCACATTTCTGAGAACGTTCGGAGAAAAGATGTCAACCTCACCCTAGGGAAGTTCAGATGAATGTTTGACACGTCTGCGGATATAGGGCTACGAGTGTTGTTGATGGGAAAGGCGAGCATAGTTAAAGAGTACCCCCTCCAAAAGTAGTAGTAGTAGTAGTAGTAGTAGTAGTAGTAGTAGTAGTAGTAGTAGTAGTAGTAGTAGTAGTAGTAGTAGTAGTAGTAGTAGTAGTAGAATCACAGGTGTTGCGCCAATAGTGAGGTCGTGTTGGTGCCTCCGTAACGCAGCATCTATGGCTGGTAAGTCCAGTACTTTTTTTTGGAGGGGGCAGGGACTCCTCATGGCTCCTTGTGTGACTAGTAAAGGTGGGGGGGGGGGGACTCCGATGGTGCATAATTTCCGTCTGGCTCTGGGGGGTTTTCAGCTGTGGTCAGGATCGTTTAATTTCTTCGCCATACTCCAGCAGCTTGCAGAGGACACGGCGGCATCGTCCCGACTGTCTGTGTTGATGTGCAAGGCTGTCGTGTGGAGTCTGAGTACGTCATTATATTAGGATAGGGTTATTTTTTCAACCATCGGTATTTTTAGAACAATCATCTATATTTGTATAGGAAGTGCGTCATTCACTGAAAACAGAATCATACTCGCATCAATAAAGGATTGTTTGCTCAGCTACAGTAAATCAGCGTCTTTGGTGTTGGGGCAAGGGGCCGCGCCGTCTTACGTAGATGATGTGAATTCGATTTCCATGTGGAGAGAATTTTACAGCGTATTTCTGTCTTTCTGCTTGAACGTTGTTTCCATTCCAGCCCGGCCTGACCTTGACAAGCAGGGTCGAAGAAGCCCACCTCTTAAATCAACTAAACGGTGTCGGGTACAATTACATTACAGCAACAGTGATACAAGTGACGCTAGATAATTTGGAGCATGGGTAGCGTAAACATATAGCATGCAGTATTAATAAGAGTTACAACTTAGTCAATAGGTAATAAGCCATTTAAGAATCAATTTTTAAAAATCGCAGGTACTGAACTGTTATTTAAAAATCTTGTTGCGAACATGTCCACCACGAAAACTAAAATAAATGGACTTTATAATAGGACAACCGCCTCCTAAAATAAATCAAGATAATTACAGTTACTATGAGAAGAGCTCAGGTCAAAATGTTATATGTCTCTTTTGTTTGTGTTAAATACACTCCTTACTCCTTTAAATATATAGTTGTCTTGCGAGAAAATAGATATTCGTGGAAATAACATAGCAATCACAGTCTAATAACGAAATTGTCAAATTGTTTGAACAACAGAGAGCATTATGTCATTAAGCCATATTATACTGAAACCAAACTTTATCTGTTTTTAATATAGCAGTTTTGGCTGCATGTGTTCCAGAAATATTTTATCGAAATCTAAACGTTGAAAGAAAGAAAAAAGTAACACAATGTAAGTACAACTGTACCTAAAAATAGAGCTCTGCATATAATTCGAAAACGGCGACAAAGTGCTGTCTATGAGGAGCACTGACGAAGCGCTATTCTGTTCCTAAAACCAATTATTCTTAATCAATGCAGGAACAGTCTGTAAAAAATCTATTTAAACTCTCTAATCGAAACTTACTTGAATTTATTTCACGAATGAGGTTTTTGCTCATTTTCTTAAAATCATCTAATTGTGACTTGACCTTGGTGTTGTTCTCAAGTCCTCAATTGTTAAAAGATTGAAGCAGTTTTTCTCCCTCCTGAAAATGGTGCTTTCAGGGCTTGATACATAAGAACAGCCCCCCCCCTCTCTCGCTCTCTCTCTCTCTTGCCCTCTCTCGCTCTCTCTCGCTCTCTCTCTTTCTCTCTCTCTTTCTCTCTCTCTTTCTCTCTCTCTCTTTCTCACTCTCTCTCTCTCTCTCTC